TTCCCAGTGTGGAATAGCTGGATCAGATTGTATTTCTGTTTTCAACTTTTTGAGGGAATAACAGACTACTTTCCACAGTATTGGTACCATTTTGCATTCCTACCGGCAGTGAGAGAGTTCCAATCATTCCACATCCTCACCAGCATTTGTTGCTCTGTTGAACTTTGCTGGTTTTGCTGGGGTGAGGTGTTCGTGGGTTTTTTTATTTGCATTTTTCTAATAGCTCGTGACTGTGAGCATTTCTTCGTGTGTGTGTTTGCTGTCTGAACATCATTTTGGTGAAGAGTTTTATCATATCGCTGCCCATTTTGTAACTGAGTTTGTTTTTTCCTTGTTGAGGCGCTAGAGTAGTCTGTACATTTTAGATGTGAGTCCCTTAGCAGATAGGTCATTTGCCAGATATTTTCCCCAAGGCTCTGGGCTTTCTTTTCATTCTATTGGAAAAGTCTTTTGATGAACTCAAGGATTTTTTTAATATATATTTTGACCAACCTACCTTTTTTATGTAGATTACTACCTTTATTCAATATGGATTAAAGCTCAAAATCAAGAAAACAAAGATTCTCACCACTGGGCTGATTGGCAGGGTTATGATAGATGGTGAAGAGATTGAGATTGCTAACAGCTTCCATTTGCTTGGCTCCACAATCAGCACTCTTGGTACCAGCATCCAGGAAATCAAGAGACAGATTTCATTGGGGAAATCTACTGTCAGGAACCTCTCCAGAGTACTGAAGAGCAACTGTGTCAGTCTGGAGACTATAGTGCACCTGATCCAGGTATAGTCTTCACAGTTCTTCCTAGGTGTCAAAGAGCTGGATGATAGAAGGAAAACTGATGCCTTTGAGCTGTGGTGCAGGAGAAGAGTGTTGAATATACCATGGATTGCTAGGAGAACAAACAAATCCATCCTAGAGAAAGTGAAGCCAGGCTGCTCCTTGGAAGCAAGGATTCTGAGGCTCCGTCTGACATAACTTTGGGCATGTTTCAAGGAAGCACTGATCCCTGGAGAGTTGCATCATGCTTGGAAGGGCAGAACAATGGAAAAAGAGAGGGAAAACATCGATGAGCTGGATTGATACAGTGACGAACTAATGAGGGTAGGTGTGTTATTGACAGTAAAGTTGGCACAGGATAGAGCAGGGTATAGGGCAAGCGACTCAAGAACACATAACAACAACCACCTTTTAAATATTCTTTGTTGCAGTTTCCTTCCCCCAAAGGATTTTTTAGAAGGTCCTGTGCATTTGTTTTTATCTTCTCCTGATTGTCAGGTTTTGGTTGTTTGAAAGCTTATTCACGTCATGGATGAGGGCTTTGAAATTTGTTGTCATTCTTCTCAGAAGATCTTTATGGTTTTTGGTTTTGCTCCTAGATCTGATCCACTTTGAGTTGGTGTGGTGGGAGATTTGGGTCTTCCATTTCCACAGATAGATGTCCATTTATGCCAGCACCATTTGTTAAGGAGGCTCTTGTTTAAGCCGTTAGCTGCATTTTATCTCCTTACTAAGGACTTCTTTAAAGTGAAAAGAGAGGATGGCAGTTTAAAGACTCAAGGTGAGCATGGCCCAAGCCAGGGTGGTTTTAAGTTGCCTCATATTCATGGGTTTCGCATTAGACCGATCAAGTGTTCTGGGATTCCCATTCTTCTCAGAGTCAGCCACAGTTTGTTATGATCCACACAGTCAAACACCTTTGCATAGTCAATGAAACACAGATATATATTCCTCTGGTACTCCCTGCTTTCAGCTAAGATCCATCTTACATCAGCCACAATATTCCTAGTACCACGACCCCTTCTAAACCCAGCCTGGACTTCTGGTAGTTCTCTGCTGATGTGCTGTTGCAGTTGTTTTTGGATAATCTTCAGTAGAATCTTGCTTGCATGTGAAATCAATGAGATTGTTCTATAGTTTCCACACTCTGTTGGGTCACCTTTCTTTGGGATGGGAACAAATACAGATCTCTTGCAGTCAGTTGGCTAACACTTGATCGTTCTAATGGGAAACCTATACTTGGACCAGGAGGCAGTCATCAGAACAGAGCAAGGGAACACTGCATGGTTCAAAATTGGGAAGGGCATACGCCAGGGATGCATCCTATCTCCATACCTTTTCAACCTGCATGCAGAACAGATTATCCGGGAAGGCTGGGCTCTATGAGGGGAAATGTGCTGTCAGGATTGGTGGAAGATCTGTCAACAATTTGTGTTATGCATATGACACAACCCTGCTTGCTGAAACTGAGGAGGACCTAAAGCGCTTGCTGCAGACGATCAAGGACTGCAGCCTCCAATATGAATTTGGGCTCAAAGTCAAGAAGACAAAGATTCTCAGCACTGGGCCAACTGACAGCATCAGGATGGATGGTGAAGAGATTGAGATTGTTCACAGCTTTAGTTTGCTTGGCTCCACAGTCAGCACTCTTGGCACCAGCCGCCAGGAAATTAAAAGACGTATTGCCATGGGAAAGTCTCCTGTTAGGGACCTCTCTAAAGTACTGAAGAGCAGTGATGTGTCTCTGGAGACTAGGTGCGTCTGATACAGGCCACGGTCTTCGCAGTCACTTGTTATGCATCAGAGAGTTGGATAATGACCAAGGGGGATAGAAGGAGAAATGATGCCTTTGAGCTGTGGTGCTGGAGAAAAGTATTGAGAATACCATAGACTGCTAGGAAAACAAACAGATTCATCCTAGAAAGGGTTAAACTGGGCTGCTACTTGGAGGCAAGGATTCTGAGGCTCTGTCTAACATACTTTGGTCATATTGTAAGGAGAGACTGATCCTTGGAGAAGGACATCATGCTTGGGAGGGTAGAGGGACAGCGCAGGAGGAGAAAGGCCCTCTATGAGGTGGATTGATTCAGTGACTGGGATAATCGGGATGGGAGAGTCAGAGACAAGTGTGATTGGCACAGGATAGAGCAGAGTTTAGGGCTGTTGTACACAGGGTCGCTATGAGTCGCAAGCGACTCAGCGGCACACAGCAACAACATATTCATGGGAAAGTTGGGCAGTGAATACAAAAAAGACAAAAAAACAGAAAAAGAGACCAGAAAAAAAGAATTGATGCCTTTGAATTGTGGTGTTGGCAAAGAGTATTGAAAAGAAATCTGCTTGGTAGAAGTGTAGCCAGGGCCTACACTTTAGAGGCAAAGATAGTGAAACTTTGTTTCATATACTTTGATTATGTTATCAGCTGGGACCAGTCCTTGGAGGACATGAACTCTGGGAAAATAAAGAGCAAACTGAGTGAGATGGGTTGGCACAGTGACTGCAAGAGTGGGCTTGACTCCAGTGGGATAGGGCAGGAGCGGGAAAGATCGAATCTGTAGTTTGTTGAGGGGTTGTGAGTTGGAGTTGACCTGACAGCGCCTAACAGCAGCGTTCAGTATGTGCTGAGCTATCATTTCGAAAAACTAAACTATATGAAGAGAGGAATGTGCTGTAAGGATCGGAGGGAGACTCACCAACACAGCTTTACCTGGCAGAAAACGAGAAAGACCTGAAACCCTTACAGATGAGGCAGAGATGGTACTCCAGTGTGCGTTATGGCTTAGCGTAAAAACCAAAAACTGGGGCCAGTCAACAGCATTATGATAGGAATTTCATTCTGCTTGGCTCCATAAATGGTAGCCCTGGAAGCAGCGGTTAAGAAATCAAGTGACACACTGCGTTGGGTTGTTCCGCTGCTGTCAAGGGTATTGCTCAAGAGTTAAAAGACAGACAGAGACGGACCAGCCATGACAGCGTCTGCTCCTTCATTTGTGTTGTGAAGCTGGACAGTGAATGAGGAGCACTGAGGGAAGGCCGGTGCCTTTGGGGGTGGTGGTGATGAATATGGGGCTAGGCCATGCATTGCTGAAAGTAAACAGATCTGTCTTGCAGGGTAATTAGGCTTACTGAATTATGTGTGCAAAGACGGTTAAAATGACAAATATTACATCTATTTTTACCACAATTTTGTTTTTAAAGCCATTTTGTTAAATGAAATTTCAGACTTTTCACTCGCTTCGTTAAGCTACATCCTGATAAAAGGTGGTGTAGAAATGAAATGTAATCATTGTGGTGGAATGGCCTTTGCCTCCTAGTTGTTTTGTGCCCGTAGGCAGCCGCCAGGACCAGAGCCTTCCTGGCTGCTTTCTGGACACACCCTGGTATGCTTTGCTTTGCTCCTGTTGGCCATTTCCCCCAGCTTTTCACTCTTTTAAAAGCCATACTCACCATTGAGTTGCTTCCAACTTGTAGTGACCCTGTGGTCAGAGGAGAGCTGTCCCAGAAGGCCCCCACGGCGGCGACCTTTACAGACACTGCCTGGTAGCCCTTCCTGAAGCGCAGTGCCTTCTGGGTTTACAGCCTTTGTCTTCCATTAGTCTTCAGTGCTCAGCCACTGTGTCACCAGGCCACCTTGGCCCTGCTGTGGAGCCACCTCCTCTTCCTCCTCCTCTCCCTGGGGGTCCTTTCTGCCCTTTGTCTCTTTTTTCTCTCCTTGCTGTTTGCTGGTGTTACACGAACACCCTGTGGCAGTCGCTGGACTGTGAGCTTGCGGAGGGCACAGGCTCTGTCTGCTCAATGCCTGTGTGCACAGGCCTGACTTGAACAAGGGATGACTGTGGGTCTTTGCATGTGATTCTTGTTCACTTGGGTTCCCTAAGGATCATGTGGAGAAAAAGTGTAGGAGACATGTACTTTAAATGATCTGGGCTACTGGCAGGACTCATCAAAAGAAGTATTACTCACCTGGCCTTTGCCAGACTTAAGACAGTGGGCTGCTTTGCTCTTGCCAGTACTTGTCGGACCTCATATTTCTCCTTTCAATTGATAAAATAGTGTTTTTATTTGGATTTACCTAGAAACTTTTTGTTTGAACATGAGTTTATTTATTGGCCATGTTTGTTTTTTCTTCTGTGACAATTGACAGCTCAAGAAGTCCTCCAGGTGTCTGGTTAGACATAACATGCTAACTTCTATCCTTTGCAGGCCCCACAGCAAGAAGAACTCAGAAGTGGAGTACATTAACCAGTACAGAGAGCTGGAGGCGCAGGAATTGGACCTGTGTGGCAGTGCCCCTGCCAGCAGTGGGCCAGGTGAGAAGGGTCTGTGTGTTGCAGATGTGATGTGTGAGTGGTTTGACACACTCAAACACTCAGTTCTTCAGGTCACGGGAACCCATCATGCGAGCTCAGGATTTGGGGGATACTGGGAGGTCATACCAGATTCACTCTCCTTTTAGAGTTCTGGCCCCTTACCAATATATTTGTTTCAAAAATTGTTAAATAGGAATTTTTTTGTTTTAAAAAAACCAATAAGGATAGTGCAGGAGAAGTTTAACACAGGAGCGTATGAGACGAAAGCAGCCAGGTCTTCGTGAGTGTGCCTCTGTGTGTGTGGGCTTCTGAGTGTGTGTGTGTAGGGAGTTAGTGAGTTAGCCACTTCTGGGAGGAGGGAGGTTCTTTTTCTGAGCTGATTACCATGTCAGACCCAACTCACATCATAGGAAGGCACCTTCTGGTCTTTTTGCTCTGCAAAAGGTCCTCACGGACTTGGAGTGTGCCTGGAAGCCCTGCGGCTGCACCTCCTTCCTGTGTGCACTTGGACTTGGGAGGGTTGAAGTACAGTAAGGTTTTCCTCATGTTGTGGTTTGTTTATTTTTGTCCGTAGAATTGCCTCATGGGGTTTTCTCGGTTGTAGTCTTTACAGTTTGGGCTTTAGGGGCAGCTGGTGCTACACTGCTTTAGCATTGACTGCTACCTGCTGGGCTGATGGCTCAGATCCCCCAGCAGCTGTGTTGGGAGGAAGCCTCCACCTGCCTCCATCCACATGACAGCGTGGGCAGCCTGTGGGTCACTGCTGCTGTCCTGCAGGGTTTGTGGGAGTTGGGAGCCACTTGACAGCTGTGGGTTTGGCTTGGGCTCTGTTGTTACAGGACTGGCGCGCCTGGCCTGTCCCTGGAGCTGCTGGCTGAGATCTCCTTAGCCACCTCTCACTTACCAGCTGGGCGCCTGCCCACCTGAATTAAAAACAGTGGTGAAGTAAGGTCTATTTGTGCTTGTATATGAGCCTGTATCCTCCTTGAGATTTCCCTGAGCTCCTGACGATATAGATTGGGCTATTTCGTCAGTTCTGGGAAGTACAGCATCACTCCCTATGCTGCAGGGATCTCTGGCCTAGTGATAAAGGGTTTTACTGCCAACCCACTGCTCAAATCCACCAGCTGCACCAGTGGAGAAAGGTGGGCAGTCCTCTGTGCAATTTGCTGCCACTGAGAACTCACGGAAGAGGCAGTGGTGAGTCCCTTCTGGTGGTCCCCAGCCGCCACCATTGCTGCCACCTTAGACATTAGCTCACTGTGCTGTATGGAGAGTCTTCAGTGACTAATGGAGTCATGGATGCTGGACTGCTAAGTACAGGGTATTTCTCTGAACTTCCCAGGACTCTCAGAATAGCCAGCCCCCTAGAGCAGAATGCTGTGCTCTCCTTACAAACTGATACTCGCCACTGGAGGCCTGGAGCTGACCCATCCCTCGCTGCCCTTGAGCGGCTTTCCGAGGCTGGGTATCGTATGGGCGGAGAGTCTCACCTCTCCTTCAGAGCACAGCGCCCTGTGGCCTGGGCCACAGCTCCCTGCAGTCTCTGCTCGTCTTCTTCCCTAAGGCAGGAGCCGCTCTGGGCTTTGCGTCCCTCCCTGCTTTCTTGCCCTGTTCCACATCGGGACTTGACATTTCTCAGTAGCTCATCAAGCTGCAGTGTTTTTAAGCAGAACTTTGTATATTCAATCCAGCCTTTCTAGTTATCCTCGGGGAAGATGGAGCTGAATAACCTCATATATTATCTATCATGAAGGGGATAGTTGAAAAATACGTGTGAAAGGGCACAATGTGTCTGTGGGTGTGCTGCTGCCTGCACTGTGCTCTCGAGAGCGTCAGCAGTCCCAGTGTTGGGGGTAAGACCTGAGGACGGGGTGGCTGCAGCACCCTCAGCTCATGTACCTTGGAAGAGCCATGTGTCTTCCTGTGGGAAGATGCCCATGAGCTAGTACTGCCATTTGGGGGAGCATTTTGGTGAGTTTATAGATGACGTGTGGTGTCAGCCCTTCTGTTCCACCCATGTACTGGCCCTGGGGCCTGTGTGGAACGCACACACACCATCTACTGGCCTGGAGCGTGCCCCCTATGCTACTCGAATGGACCCCAAGTTCACAGTGCCTGCTTGGGTCACTTCTGATTTGATTCAGGTGTGAAACTACCCTTTACTTTCTTGGGACATGTCTTTGGCACATCCAGGGTGAGGGCCTTCAGTGGGCAGTCATGTAACACTGCTGCTGGAGCTGTGTGCACAGGACTTGGTCAGACGTGAGGGTTCATGGCACGGTGCGTGAGGCGGTGGTGTGGAAGTCAGCACACATTGTGGTAGTTATACGAATGTGTATTTTAAAGATAGGGGTCATTAAAAACCGTTCTCTAAGTGCATGGGACAAGGGCTTCTGACGTGGGCTCTTAGGAAAATGACATTCAGCCTTACAGCTGAGGGAATCGAAGTTTCCTGGCAAGGTAACCTTCAGCAGGGTGCAGACACCTGAGATGGGAGGAAACTGCTTCAGGCCCGGACACAGTTTATCACTGTGATTGGCTAAGTAATGGACCCCAGTTCCAGAGTTGAGAGTCTGAAGGGCGCCTGCCCCAGACCATGGCTTTTTGGTTGCTTTGTATGCATCTGAAAGTTGGACAGTGACTAAGGAAGACCAGAGAAGAGTCTGTGCCTTTGAATTGTGGTGTTGGGGAAGACTGTTGAATACACCATGAATGACCAAAGAACAAACAAATCTGTATTCGAGGAAGTACAGCCCGGGTGCTCATGTAGTCAGGGGACACTTGTCTTTAGAAAAAGGTATCATGCTAGGAAAGGTCATGAAAGAGCGAGGAAGACCCTCCTCCAGGTGGATTGGCACAGAAATTGTCATGATGGGCTTGAATGTGACAGAGATCATGAGAATGGCACGAGCCAGGGCAAGGCTTCGATCTGTTGTTCACTGGATCACTGTGAGCAGTGGTTGACTCGATGGTACCTCCCAGAAGTTCCCAGAGCCTTTGTATACATTCCCTAGAATTGCCAGAGAGACTTAGAGATGTGACTGACTTCGGGGTCTTGAGACGGAAATGTTACCCTGATGGTCTAGGTGGGCCCAGTCTGATCACAGGGTCCTTTGAAGGAGGGATGGTCAGGGCCAGCGTCAGAAGTGGAGATGAGAGGATAGAAACAGAGGCTGCTTGTCATTGAGAAAGGAGTGGCTCCAACTGGAAAAAAGGCAAGAAATGATTCTCCTCTGGAGCCTCTTAGACAGACCAGCCTTGTCTTTTAGTCTTGTCCAGTAAGATTGGCATTGGACATCTCATCTCGGGAAGTGTAAGTGACCACATATGTGCTGTGTTAAGCCTCTGAATTTTGGTTATTAGTTTTGACCGCCACTGGAAATCATACTGTTTTGGAAAAGGCTTCATGAGTTTGCATCTGATCCATGGTATTTTGATAGGTTGCTATGCATGTGAAAGTTGGACAGTCAAAATGGAAGCCCAAAGAATGGATGTCTTTTGAACTGTGCTGGTGGGAAGGGTATTGAATATACTAGAGGAGCTGCCAAAAGAACAAACAAGTGTGTCTTGAACGCAGTGCAACCAGAATGCAAGAGAGCGGAAACGTCATCTCCCTCGCTTGAAGCACCTTTTCGGGAAGAACGAGGCCTTGGAGAGAGACCTCATGCAGGGAAAGGCAGAGGGTCCCTCCGTGAGATGGGCTGAGCAGACAGAAGGGGGCTTGAACATGACTGAGACTGTGAAATGGAGTAGGATTGTGGGTGAGGTTCTGTGAATTGGTGGCGACAGCGCCTAACAACAACAGCAACTGGAGGGTGAGACGTGAGCAGGGACGCAGCCTTGTGGACCATATCAGCACATTTGGTCTTGATCCTTCGAGCGGTGAGATGCATCTGGATGTGGCAGGATGGAGATGGAGATTTCTCACGGTGAATGTGAAGCGGGGGAGGGGGTCACAGGATGAGTTTTCTGTTCTGACAAGACCACTTTAGTCATCCTGTAGAGAAGGTGCTGAGGGGCCTCAGCGACCAGAGGAGAGCAGGGGAGACCACTGGAGGGAGCAGTAGACATGGAGGGGGTGGAGGACAAGGATGTAGTGGCCCGTGTTCTCTGGGGCTCAGGACCCTTCTATGCATCGATGCCATCTCCTCCTCTGATGCTCTGTCTCTCTCTAAGAGCCCTCGTGGCCGGCAACACTCCCCCTGCTGTGCGCTGGATAGATGCTGCCTCATGGCAGCCTTGCTCTATAGAACAGGATAGAACTGTCCATAGTGCTCACAAGGCTGTCAGTCTTGACCGTCAGATTGCTTCATTTTATTCTCACAGAACGGCTGGTGGAATCAAACTGCAGATCTTTTGGTTTTACATGTGAATGCCATAACCGCCGTGCCATGAGAGCTCCTGTGCTGATTTATGTTGTGTGTACTCCGTTCAGAACTGACTCATAGCTGAACCTGCAGCGGCTTTTCAGAGACTAACTAGGAGGAGACTTCCTGACCTTCCCTGTGGAGCAGCTGGTGGATTTAAGTCCTGAAGCGCTTGATACAGAGGTCAAGGACTGCAGCCTTCAATATGGATTGAGACTCAATGTCAAGAAAACAAAGATTCTCACCGCTGGGCCGATTGGCAGCATCATGATAGATGGTGAAGAGACTGAGATTGCTAACAGCTTTAGTTTGCTTGGCCCCACAATCAACACTCTTTGCATCAGCAGCCAGGAATTGAAAAGATGTATTGTGATGGAAAAGTCTGCTGTTAGAGACGTCTCCAAAGTACTGAGGAGCATTGATGTCACTCTGGAGACTAAGGTGTGCCTGATACAGGCCATGGTCTTTGGAATCACTTGGTATAGAAGGTGAATTGATGCCTTTGAGTTATGGTGTTGGAGAAGAGTATTGAATATACCTTAGACTGCTAAGAAAACAAACAGGTTCATCCTGTTGTTGTTTGGTGCCATCGAGTCATATTCGATTCATAGCGACCCTATGAACAAACGG